AAAGGCCGCAACTGGTGAATCAGGCGAACCTGATAAAACGCCCCCCTGGTCACGGCCGACAACTGGTCTTCCAGCGTCAGCCGCGAATCCAGGAGGACACCCAAGTTGCGTACCCTCTCCGAGGGGGCCAAAGTTTCGCCCCCTATAGTCAGCGATGGAATCAGCTGACTATGCCGAGGCGCCGGTAACCACAGCCACTTGGTCTTGGACGGGTTGAGCCTGAGTCTGTTCCTCCCCATCCAGACCCTCACGGCCTCCAAACACCTTGCCGATGTGAAGGATTCTCCATAACACATTTGGATTGATCAGAAGGAAGGAGAACTAGGGGAAATCGCCCTGTATAATATTGGCTATATCGTTAATATAGAGACTTCCTACATCTCTTTTTGGGCGTCTTGAGGCTTTGCATGCTGCTAGAGCTATGGCAGCGTTGAAGAATAGCTGTAATTTTCTCTTCTGCACCCGACATAATAAGCTATAATGCATCCTGTTGTAGATTTCTTCTTACATTTGGAGGCTTTGCTATGTAGCAAGACCAGTCATTCTGACATTCAGAGATATATGGGGCCATCGCCCCACCTTTGCTCTTGACAAACAAACTTGCCAATATTGTTTCTATCAAAACATACGTAGTATACGTAAAGCCATTTAAAGCTCAAAGGTAACAGCAACTATTATAGTCACCTTCCGTGAATGTTACATGACTAAAATGTTTTCAGTCCAATACACCATCCATTGGTCATACTTCTTGGGAGTTTATTTGTTATTTATTTTATTTGTTAAATTTATACTGCTCAAAAAAATAAAGGGGACATTTTAACATGGAACTGAAGGAGTTTGTGTTCCCTTTATTTTTTTGAGCAATATATTTGCTGCCTATCTCCCCGTAACGGCTACTCTAGGCAGCTTACAGTAATAAAAAGGAAGGAAAGGTGTGCAAACAGAACAGAAGTAAAACAATAGAACAGTAAAATAAGCAATGACGAAGGAACCCAACAAGAATAAATACATTTATTTATTTATTTATTTATTTTTTGGATTTATATCCCGCCCTTCTCCCGTAGGACTCAGGGCGGCTGACAATCTATTTAAAATACATACAAAACAATACAAATTTAAAATTAATTAAAAGGAATATTTAAATATTTGTCGAATTTTAAAATATAATTAAAACCCCCCTAAAAATTACCCTAGGCCAGTCCTGCA